GGACACGAGTCAATGGAAGTTTTCAGTTATCAGTACAATACTGCATCTTTATGAGGAGTTGTACCCACATAGAGTACATATTAATTCAATTGTTTGCAGATGTTCCATGTATTATTTTAACATGAGTATTTTATAATTAAATGACGGAGACTCCGACATTCATGTCTTATTTTTCAGTAAAACTGTCAAAATATTTTGAAAGTATAGGAATCGCCACTAGTGTCCATGTCAGTAAACTGTAGAGTATTTTCGTAATTGTCGATTGGAAAATATGTGTGCAAATTTTGTCTCCTCCCTTGTCATATATTATATATAGTGTAGGCTGATCAGCCGGAAACAAGTATTGGTGATTTTCGGGTTTCAGAGCTTTGATACTTCAATTTAATGAAATATGCTTGCTTGCTTGCTTTACATTACTGTATTAATTACATAATTTCCATTATTGTGAGCAAGGGTAAGGCCCTGTACCGGGACATAGTCACCCCGTCCCCTAGACGTTCATGTATTGACGCGAGTAAATCGTCAGGGCCCTGTGTTAGCCAGAGGTACATTTTTTCACTATGATAGTGGCAAGACATGTTTTATTGTTGTACTGTAAACCATGAACATTGACATTTGTCTGAAATACATGTTGTAAACTCTTTATGCTGTCGTCGCCCCCCTCCCCCCGTACATTTCTTGTATATTATCAAGTTTGCCCATTTTATTTTGAATAAAGGTAATACAAGTCGATTGATTGTTTTGTGAAGCTTGACGAAATATAATTTTGAAAATCATGTTATTTTTGGACAATTTCGATGTCATGGTGGAAAACGTCTTCCTACCTTATTATTGTTATTATAGGAGTGGTAGGCGAATATACCGGCAACTTAATAAGTATACCGACCCTATTATAGGTCCTTTTTATTATCCAAGAAACGTTCCAAGCGCATGTGGTGCAGTCGTAATGTTATTGGTCTGGAGCCTACTATCCCGAGCCCCGAACTGAAGAGTTTAGTTTAGAGAATTCAGTGCATGAATCTTGCCTAAATTAAAGTTCGGGGTATTATGTAATAACATTGTTTACACACGTTTGAAGCATATTTTTTTCAAATCCTTCATGCATTACCAGTACGTAATAACATCTTTTCTGTGCATGAATATTGCCTAAATTGGGTTTTTACATAATAACATTATTTACACACGTTTGAAGTGTAATTTTTTCCAAATCTTTTGTGCATTACCAGTACGTAATAACATCTTTTCTGAATATAGCTTTATACGCATATAAACACGTACGCGTATAAAGACATATTTATCACTTACCAACTTTGGCGTGTTCAAATAACTTGTCTTTGCGAGTGTACTATGATAAACTGATCAAAGCCAGGAAACCTAGTACAAATACTACCAGTAACAAATTATTGCAAAATATGGTAATATATTGAGCATTTTGTGAAAAAAATGAGGAACAAGTAACATCAACACATTAAAAACAATGGGATAAAAGAACAGAGACTATAGGTATAGGGGACATGTAATTCCATCATATGAAGCCATAGTCAATATAATTTTTATCATTCAAATACAACAATCGTGGAAATCCAAGCAATGTTTTTATGGCAATAATTACCTTGCTATTTCTCTGTAC